AAAGTCAAGTTTATGTGTATTTTTTTCTAGTTTTATAATTAATTAAAAATACGTTTGCTGAAAATTGTGATAACTTAAGAATATTAAAAATATCTTCACCTTTACCACAAAAACTTCAAAAATAAACAATTCGAATACATCTTAAAAATGTGTTTATGAAAATAAATATAATCAAAAATTATGTGGTTTATGTTTTTAAACACCAACGATTGACTTACTTAACCTCGATTTTGTAGGCAAATAACTATGCTTTTAGTTGAAAAAATGTCTGATTTTATGCCCTCTGTCTAAATTATTATCTTTAAAATACATTAAAAGTTCTGCTCTTGACAAAAAACTCAAGACGTGATCTCTTGAAAGTCATCTTACTTCCACGCAGTAAAGAAGATTCACTACTTTAAACATAAAATCTACCATTTAATTATAAATGCGAACTTGTGAATTTGTAACGCGTTTCTTTTGATGGAGTTTACAACTTTAATGACAACTTTTTGAGGCAAGAGCTAGTCGATGCATAAATACAGTGCAGGCATTTAGCATTTGGCATTACTTTTTGTCACTATAATCGGAGAATACAGTGAGCGAATGGGACTAGAGATTAATACCAAAAAGACCAAATTCATGATCATCTCCAGAAACTTGGATGCATTTGAAAACTCCACCATAACACTGAATAGTAAATCCATAGAAAGAGTGAGTAAATTTAAATACCTGGGATCGTGGCTTTTTGAAGACTGGGCATCGGACAGGGAAGTAAAATGTCGCATTGAGCAAGCTCGACAAGCTTTCGTAAAATTCAAGAAGGTACTGACTTGTTCAGAGTTCGATCTTCAACTGAGACTAAGGTTTACTAAGTGCTACGTATGGTCAGTGCTGCTATATGGCGTAGAGGGCTGGACACTCAAAACGAGGGATATAAACAGATTGGAAGCTTTCGAAATGTGGCCTTATCGCCGTATCCTAAAAATACCATGGACAGCAAAAATCACAAATATAGATGTCCTTAAAAGAATAAACCAAGAACGCCAACTTTTCGAAACCATCAAGAAAAAGAAAACGGCGTATGTAGGTCACATCATGCGAAATGAAAAATACCAGTTCCTCCAACTTATAATCGAGGGTAAAATTGAAGGCAAGAGAGGAATGGGACGCAAGAAAATGTCCTGGCTCCGAAACATAAGGCAATGGACAGGGATTAACGACATACAATCTCTGATACATATTGCAAGAAATAGAGAGTTAATGGAAAATGTGATCGCTAACATCCATTAGTGGATTTGCATCTGAAGAAGAAGATTACTTTTTGCTTTTAACAATAAGACCAGATCGATAACCTGCTATAGCCTTGTCCCAATCGGTACATAAAGTAATGTATTTCGTTTAGTAAATATTTCAAAATACTCGAAATGTTACATTTTAAAATAACTTTATTCAAACACCAACTTGTTTACAAAACTTTAACAGACTGACATTTCAAACTTCAAAACTCAATTACAACTCTTATTAACTATCAACATGTATTTATATAAATTTTCTGACATTCCAGACCTCACTAGATATTTTCAGGATTCTTCGATGACTTCGATGAAATTCTAAACTTCTTCATTACATTTTTTTGTCGGGACTTTTTCTATCTGAAATAAATCTCACGGAACTTTTATTGCACAGCTTTCTCCTTTATAATTATTCGTCTCGAATAACTGGCTTATCAGGGACCGATTGAAGCCAACAGGGTAGATCAGTTCCATGGTATGGAGCTAATATCTCGATATAGAGTACCTTGGGTTTATTTCTAGCTGAAAACTGGATTTAGTAGGTTGATTCGTTTATTTTCTGCAAGATGGTGTACGGGTCTTCCCAGTTGCTTTAAAATTTCGGTCATAGCGTTTTCTTACGTATGATATTGTGTAACCATATCTGTAACATACATGTCGAGCCTAGCCTTGGGTTTATCACTTTGAAGCTTCAAACTTTCAAGAGCAAACTCATTGACTTTTTTCATTTTTTTTTTTCAAATTTTCGAAGTATGTCAGCTATGAACGTTCTTCGCATGAAGGTAAGCTTTTTAAAATAAGATCTTAAGGAAGCTTCGTTCTTTTCCGGTGATCATCATAGATAAAGATGGGTAACAGAAATATAGAAACATAATTATCCTAATTTGGTTGATAATCAGCGACAAATATTGAAAAGTATTGACAAACAGTTCTATTATGTCTTTGGATACAATAGAACTGTCTATAATGTCTATTTTTCCTTTTACTGTGGATGGACAGGCGTTGTCAGAGTTTTCTTAATACTCAAGATTTTCGTTAATTCTTGCTATAATTCTGATTCAAAATTTCGTCCTGAATGTAGCTCTAAGGAAACTCTATGTCTTGATAGGTGTATTATGAATGCTTCTGCTACTGTAGTCGCTTTTGATTAGGAAGGGATGCAATTTTAGGTAATTAAAACATAATTCATTTCGATCATTAAGTCCTTGTTTTTTCTCTCTGTTACCCGAAGTGGACCGATAATTTTTACTGCAAGTCATTCAAAAGGCCCTCCGGAAAGATATTGTAACGTTTTACCACAACTTCATATTCTAGTGTCGTTTCTTCTTCTTCTTTTTGTGCCACTCCTATCGGAGATTGGAAATCATCAAGGCTATTCTGACCTTGTTTACGGCTGACCTAAAGAGTTCATTAGTGGTGCAGCCAAACCACTCTCTCAAATTCCGCAACCATGACATTCTTCTACGGCCTGGATTCCGTTTTCCTTCTATTTTTCCCTGCATTATATTTTGAAGTAATGCGTATTTATGTCCTCTCATCAGGTGACCAAAATATTCGAGTTTTCTTCGCTTTAGCGTTAACAAAATCTCTGGGTCTTTTCCTATTCTTTGTATTACTTCACAGTTTGTTATTCTTTCAACCCAACTAATCTTCAGCATTCGACGGTAGCACCACATCTCGAAACTTTCAATATTTTTCATGTTGTTCTGTGTGAGAGTCCAGGCCTCTACACCGTATAATAGCGTGTTAAATACATAGCCTCTCAGCATTCTTAATCGTAGAGGGATGCTTATATTTCTGTTGCAGAAGAATGTTCTCATCTTTATGAAGGTGGCCCTGGCAATTTCGATACGTCTTTTTATTTCACTGTTTTGGTTTCCAGTTTCGTTTATTAAAGTTCCCAAGTATTTGTAAGTTGATACTTTTTCAACTTGAGTGCCGTTTATACTAATATACGCTGGTTGTGTCATGTTTTTACTGAAGACCATATACTTGGTTTTTTAATTATTGATATTTATACCATAATTGTTGCAAGCAATATTTATGTCTGTAAGTAATCTTTGTAATTCTTCTACTGTTCTTGCAACTAGTACAGTGTCGTCCGCGTATCGAATATTATTTACAATCTCTCCATTAATTACGATTCCTCCGTTTGCTTGTAAAAGGGCTTCCTGACAGATGCTTTCACTATATACATTAAATAACAGAGGTGACAAAATGCAACCCTGTCGTACTCCTCTACGTATTTCTATTGCTTGTGATGTTTCAGTTTCTATTTTGATGTTAGCTTTCTGATTTCAATATAGATTGAGAATTATTCGCAGATCTTTATTATCTATGTCCTTCCTTTCAAGAATCTCTCTAAGCTTATCATGGCGTACTCTGTCAAACGCTTTTTCAAAATCGATAAAACACGTATGTACCTCCTGATTAACGTCTAGGCATCTTTGTGTGAGAACATTCAAACCGAAGAGAGCTTCTCGAGCACCAAGCCCTTTTCTGAACCCCATCTGTGTATTACTAATATCTGACTCCAACTTTTGATAAACTCGGTTGTGGATGATTTTTAGAAATATCTTTAGTAGGTGGCTCAAAAAAGATATTGTTCGATGTTCTGAACATTCTTTAGCATTAGATTTCTTTGGCAGTGTAACGAATGTAGACAACAGCCACTCTTGAGGTATAATGCCAGTATTGTATATTGTATCAAATAAGTGCAATATTATACCTATTGATTCATCATTCAAGAGCTTTAGCAATTCGGTAGGAACCTCATCCAGTCCATTTGCCTTCCCAGTTATGGAATTTTTAAGTGCCATTTCTACTTCACATTTGTGTCGTTTCTATTGTTACATAAATAGCAGTTAATTTGAAACTTTTGACTCCAAAAGGTCCTCCAAAAAGGCTGCTATGCAGTTCTTTTACACTGAACACACTTTTAACCTGTGAGTTTGGCAGTCCAACTTATTTGTACTGTACGTACTTCATCGGGACTTGATAGACAACAGGCACCATTGAGCTCAGTACGCCTTTATAGTTCCACTGTATTTTTTTTTATTTCCTGCCAAATAAGTCTTTTCCCATTTTTAAGCCATTCTTGTATGACTCTTAAGTCATTATGTTCTTTTGACTCTTTTTAAGGTTTTCCAGTTAAGTCTGATCATTATCTTCTTCGTGTTTTGTGGTTCTCCGGAGACTTATTTCTTCGGCTATATTCTCTTTTTCTTTAAGCTGACACTGACTGTGAACCTGTTCTTTCAACTTTTCTATTTCATTTTTACTAATCGCTAGTAGCTAGTTGCTATTAAAGAATTCTTCCAATTCTTAGACGACTGAGCTCTTCCCCTGGTTTGGTAATGTTAATAAATGGCGAATGAACTGGGTACGATAAGACTAGGGGCCGCCAACTGCTTTGGGATACAGTGCTTGATACTATTTGCCTTGTTTTTCCTCCAATCTACCTTTAAATATTGCTCTCTACCTTCATCTTTTTTTCCATATTAGACTCTCCTTAAATATCTAAGAAATCTTATGACGGTTGGGACAATATTTTTACTGTCTGAGTAAACTTTACCTCTTCTAACGCTTTTTACCCTAGTTTTGAGAAAAAAAAATCGTTAGGAAAGCAAATAACCCTTAAATAAATTACTTTATGCTACAATAATATATTCAAGAAGTTTGAAGAAGTTTAGAACAAATAAATATTTAAAAAAATTATTTTTTTGCAGGTATCAATGGTTAGCTGGTAATGCTGGTACACACTTCTGGCACGCCCATACAGGATTACAGAAGATGGATGGTTTGTACGGCAGCATTGTTATACGTCAACCTCCTTCCCACGATCCCAATAGCCATCTTTACGACTATGATCTCACCACTCATGTAATGCTCTTAAGTGACTGGATGCACGAAGCTGCTGCGGAAAGATTCCCAGGAAGATTGGCGGTAAGCTTGACTTTTATTAAATTTTGTAAATTTATAGATTCTTACATTTTAAAATATCGATAATTATCTAACAAATAGAACTAACCTAAAAGAATATAATATGTCTTTCAAATATCTATATACAAACCGAGATGTTCCAAATTTCGACTTCTCTACACGCAGTCTCTAACGAGATTAAAGATTGAAATACATATAAAAAGGTAACCCAGTAGACGTGATGTAAATTATTTTTATTCATTTATTCTCTATTTACTTACATGTAGCATATTTTGTTTGGCGTTTACCACATCGCAATTGCCATTTCTTGTTGTCATACATATCTTCTTCAGTGAGGTTTCTTTTTTCCATTGCTGTTTTTTGTCCATTCCACTCTAATCTAGGACGTCCTCTTTTTCTCCTACTATTTGGTTTCTATTTCCAAGTTTCCAGTAATATTCTTGTCTCGTCCATCCTTTGCACATGTCTATTCCAGAGTCATTTTCGTTTCTCTATTTCGTCATTTAGCGTCTCCTTCACAAAACAATATTTCCATTGCATTTATTCTAATCTCTATTTCTTTATTGGGTCAAGCACGTTTCTGGACCATCCAATTAACAGCTTTTCACTATTGTCCTAAAGTTTTGGTGTTTAGTTTTGCTTGTAATATGTTAACTCTATATAATGGATTGTAATTGTTGTGTTATCGTCTTTCCTTACTTTATTTTATTTATTATATTCTTGTTATCTGATCCTGTATTTGTTAAGATTACCCTTAAGTATATATATTCAGTTGTTTATTTTATTATTTTATTAAATTGTAATTTATACCCAGGTCTTCTTCGATGTTTTAAACGGCCATATATTACATTTTATTATTAATAATTTGAAAACTTCAGCTTCAGAATTCTTTTTCCAGTTTTTTTTTTATCAAGTAGATGATGTCGTCTTTGTCTTTTGCTAAAATTATATAATCATCAGCAAAAAAAGGCTGTGGATATGGTTGTTAATTCATCTTCCTATCTGTTCCATTTTCTTGTTCCAGTTTTTAGAGTTTGACCTATATAAAGATTAAGTAAAGTTAGTGATTTGAGTAATAGGTTTGCCAGTGTCCATGATGAAGTCCTTTATTGACTTCAAACAGTTCTTAGTAGTTTTGTCAAACTTCTATTCTACATTCATTATCATCGTATAGAGATTTTACGGCATTAATTTAGGTGTTACCTCTTTCGTGATTTTCTATTGCTTTCCGCAGGTTATTGACTGGGACACTATTATAGTTTTTGGACATTTCGTAAAATGCGGAAGTTGAGCGTCCGGCACGAAAACCACTCTGTTCTTCTGAAGTTGCAGGTGTTCCTCCATTTTTTTCTGAATAATTTTTTCATACAACCTTCCCACAGAAAATGTAACGCATTTTGTTAAAGCTACCTTTTTCAGATGGATTAGCTTCCTCCGTGGATGTGTTAGTTGTTGCTCTAGAATCCTTAGAGTCTTCTGACATTATTACCACAAATTGGTCGCATTGCTCTTGTAGTGATCCTTTCCAAGTTAATATGCTCATTTTCTAGCTTGGCTACACCGTACTGAAGACGACCAAGACGACCAATAGTCTTGCGACGTTGTCCGATGCCTAATTTCCATGACACTCTATCATCCCATAGCCCCTTTCTAAGATCTCTTGCACTCATCGCCTTCGTTACTCCCTCTCTCCAAGATTTCTTGGGTTTTTCTCTCTTTCTGCGGTTTAGTGGTACCCATTGCATAATTATTTTTGGGAGTCTTGAGTTATCCTCTGTCTATTCTTGTAGAGCCCCATTCGCTGTCTTATCTCATCATTACGTATTCTGTCTCTGCGTGACACTCCTACTGATCTTCTAAAGCGTCCATTTCTATTGCCTCCAGTTTTCTTGTGTTGTTTTCGGTTAATCGTCAAGTTTCTGCTCCGTACAATAGACTGCTTTTAATAAGAGATTCGTAGATATTGTGCTTTCTTCTTTTTCCTAGTTCATGATTCCACAGTATGCTGTTTATACAACCCATTGCTTTTCTGGATTGTGTCATTCTTCTCTTTATTTCTTCATCATCTTTTCCCGTTGTGTCAAAAACGATTCCTAGGTATGTGTGATGTTCGATAGTTCGGTACCTATTAGCAGATATTTTATTTTTTCTGTATTAATTTTTAGTCCCCACTTTCTATATTCTTCTTGTTATTTTCGTGCCGTGTAGTCCAAATCATCTTTATCGTTTGTTATAACAACCTGGTCATCAGCAAACTGCAATAAATACAAGCAAATCTATCTAAGGTCTACGCCCATGCCTCTGCATTTTCGTTTCCACTTTTTCAATGCTTTTGCAACATATATTTTAAACAAGATTGGTGATACACAATACCCGTGACGTAGACCTTTATTAACCAGGAAGCTTTGCGATACTCTTTTTCCAGTTTTTATTTATAATGTTGACCCTTCATACAAATTTCTCAAGGCTTTTATTAAGTTGACAATAATATTCGTTTGTCGTAACACATTCCAGAGTTTGTTTACAGGACGCCTTCTGCAAGTCAATAAACATGAGGTGGGTTTCTTGATTTGTACTTAATTTTTTTTCTATTAGTTGTTTGAGGCAGGATTGTTCTTCTTCCTCTTGGTCTTTGTATTTCTTCTCAATGCGGTCTCTAATTATTCGTTCATACAGACGGCTAAATGTACTAGTGACTGATATTCCTCTATAGTTTTTACATTTAAGCTTACCTCCTTTCTTATGGATCGACGAAATATAAGCAATTTTCCACTCGTCGGGTACGGGAGAACCATTTATAAATTGATTCATGCACCAAGTGACAGTTTCAAACAATTTTTATGATCCACCGTTTTTTAATTCTTTTATAGCTTTTCTAATTTTTGTCACTTCCATTGTTATATCTTCTCCTTCAATATTAACCTCTGTGGGTGATTGAATTCGTCCCTATTTTCTGTCAGTAGTTCCCCATAGTACTTGTCCCATTTTTGTGTGGATATTAATTGAATGTTTGTGCTCTTCCTTTCGTTAGTTCTTATTTTACTGAGGAACTTCCATGTTTCTGTACATTTTCTGCCTCCCAGGTATATAGTAAATATCTACTCGAAGCCATTAGCAGCATGACATCTTACTGCACAACCGCAAAACATATAAAACTGTTTATATTACGTACTTACGGTTCAAACGCAACGGGTGTTAACATATACCTATCGTCTTTACAAGTTGTAAATTTTAAGCGTTTAGTTTACAAGGCGTAGAAATCGATTTTATATAAATACAATCCTTAGAAATTGTATTCCTTAAAGAGTTAGACCGAACGTATTTGGATATAATTACTGTTTTACTTACAATCAGTAGTCAGTCTCCGACGTCAAAATGACCTGAATTCATCTGATCAAACCGGCGCAGTTTCTATTGGAGATCATGTCGTAATACGACAATATTCTGTAGTAAGGTCAACAATATTATTAGAGGAATATATTGTTGTAACCTGAGCTGATTTAATATACTATAAGTTTTTTTTTATAATTAAGGTCACAGTTAGTATTTTCAGAAAGTTGTTTGTCTAAAATGAGAGAATTTTGAAACAATTTCATACAAATAGAAACTACAAAATAGAACTTTATAAACATTCAATATAACATCTTAATATATTAAAGAGTTTTCTCTTGGTTGATACACTAATTGAAAATTTTAACAAATACATTTAAAAAGAATAAATTAAATTCCAATTTATTAGTATAACATTATCTGTACCTGTATTTGGATGTTACTATATAGTGGTACTTTTTCCAATTTATCCAATTAGGCATTTTTTCCTTTTGCCAAATTATTAGTGTCAAGCGAAATATCCTTTCCTTCAATCTTTCGCCAGCTTTCTTAAAAATCTCAGCTGGGATACAACTTTCTTCTGTACTTTTGTTATTTTTTATGTCTTTTATTATTTCTTTGACTTCATTCAGAGTTGGTTCCTGGGACGTCCCTTCATCATCTTCTTGCTAATTCTAATTTCCCTCAAGTTTCTCTTGTTGGTCTGTATTTAATAGATCTTTGAAATATTTCGCCCATCTGTTTAATTTTTCTGTTGTGTTACCTAGAAATAAGCCTTCTTTGTTTATGCAATTCTGTGGATTATTCTTTGTAGTTTCTCTGGATTTCTTAACTTCTTGATAGAAATTTTTTATCTCTTTGTTTATGAAGGCTTCTTTTAAGTTTTTCGATTACTTTTCTAGCTGTTCTCTTTTCTTTTATCTGCAAATTCTTTTCACTTCCGTTTTCCTTGCTACATAGTTTTCGATCCCATTTTGGCGATAGTCATTTCACTACTACTAGTGAATACTAATCAGTACAGTGGTGTCTAAGGGCTCGGGAGATTAAGACCTCGAAAGCCCTGAAGAAGACATCAGAGAGGATGTCAAAAGCTGAAGGAGTTTAAAGGAGACATATGTCCAGCAGTGGACGTGATAAATGAAGGCTGGATGATGATGACGATAGTAAAGGGGCTAAGAGAGAACTAGCGCAAAACAGGTCATTTTCCCATGTAAATCTCCATAAGAAAATCTAAGGTCGATTCTGCTCATTTTTGTCTCATTTTGTGGTGGGGGTAAAACGGCTTGTCGGATCATTACGTGTAAGGTATCATTGGAAAGCGGAGGGGACGGGAACACGTTGAGATGAAAATCAAACGCAAAGACATTGACAAAACCTGATCAAATGTGTTCAATACCTGTAAACCTGATCAAACCTGATCAAACATTAAACACGTATTGAAAAGGTATTGAACAGGTATTGAACAGGTTTACAGGTATTGAACAGGTATTGAACAGGTCTTGAACAGGTCTCGAACAGGTTTACAGGTATTGAACAGGTTTACAGGTATCGAACAGTTTGATCAGGTTTGATCAGGTTTGATCAGGTAGCGCCGTTTTGTCAATGTCTTTGCGTTTGATTTTGTCTCAATGTGTTCCCCGTCCCCTCCGCTTTCCAACGATACCTTACACATA